TTTTGTAGAGGTATGAGTCCCAAATAATCACATAGTTGATTAAACGGCACAATAACATTTCTTGACCTTAGCTTAAAGTCTACATATTTAAGAAACTTTCCTTGGACATTTTCAATTCGGAGGATATGTATGTTGTAAAAAGGTGACCAAATGACAGCGCAATATTCTAACACTGATCTTACAAAAGCATTAAATAATAGTAACAAAATTCGCACATTTGCAAAGTCAGAGGTCCATCTTTTTATACATCCCAACATTTTATTGGCTTTGGCCACAATAAAATCATAATGTTTAGTAAAGGTGAGTTTAGTATCCAGAACAACACCTAAGTCCTTAATGTTATCAACCTCTCTCAAAACTGAATTACTAATACTATAACATGGAGTTGACTTGTTGAGTTTATGACTAAAGTTTAGGACATAACATTTCTCCAGATTTAAAGACATAGCGTTATTTTCCCACCAAACTGTTAGATTGTTAAGGTCCAATTGTAAGCTAGTGACAGTGTCATCATTAACTTGATTAAATATCTTTAAATCATCAGCAAACATTAGAAATTTAGATTTAAGGAGATATCCAAGGTCATTAATATATAATAGAAATAGAAACGGCCCTATAATCGATCCTTGGGGAACACCTGAGGTTACATGGATAACTTTTGAAAAAGTCTTCCTAATCTTGACCTGTTGGGTTCGGGAAGTTAAGTAACTAGTCACCCAAGAGAGTAAAGGATCCCTGATGCCATAGAGATATAATTTGTGTGCTAAATTAAAGTGATTAACTTTATCAAAGGCTTTGCAAAAGTCTGCATATATTGTATGAACTTCTCTAGCTTTTTCGAAATTACTTAGAATAAAATTGGTGAAAGAAAATAGATTTGTAAGCGTGGATCTTTTTTTGAGAAAGCCGTGCTGTTCAGGGATAATAACATGTTTGAATTTAAAAGCTAAATGTGATGTAATTATAGACTCAAAGAGCTTGGTAGGTGCAGGTAACAGGAAGCAAGAAAAATAAAAAATTTAGAAAATAACTGAAAATGTGAAAATCGACAAACTGAGGAAAAGCCAAAAATTTAAGAAACGAAAGAGTGAAAATGTCTAAAATTGAAAAATAGAGGCATTGAAGAAACGAAAAATGGAAAAATTTAAAAGTGAAAAATGAAAGAAAAGGAAAAGTGTTTCAAATGTTCAAAATCGAAAAATTGCAAATCGACAAGTTGAAGTAACGAAAAATGGAAATAATTTACAAGTGAAACTCGAAACATTGGAAATCGACAAATTGAAGAAACGAAAAATAAAGAAATTCAAAACCATAAAATTGAAAAATTGGAAAATTTAAAATTTAGAAATTGTAAATGTAAAAAATCCACAAATCGGAGAATCAGCCAAAAATTGAAGAATCGAAAAAATGAAAAATTTTAAAGTTCAAAAAAGAAAAATTGAAGAAACAAAAAATGTAAAAATGGAAGAAACGGAAAAGTGAAACAAAAGTTAGAAAATCGAAAAATTGTAAATCGACAAATTGAAGAAATGAAAAATTGAATGACAGAAATATTGTAAAATCAAATAATTTAACGAAAAATTGAAAATCTAAAAATTGAAGAAACGATAAATAAAAGAAGAAGTGAAAAATCGAAAATTTGCAAATCGATAAATTGAAGAAACCTAAAGTTGAAAAATTGAAAAATATAAAAATTGAGAAATCGTAAATGTGAAAAATCGATAAATTGAACAAAAACCCAAAAATTGAAGAAACGAAAAAGGGAAGGAGTCAAATGTTGAAAAACGAAAACCTGAAGAAACGAAAAATGGAAAAATGTAGAAGTGAAAAACGAAAGAAATAGAAAAATGAAACATTCAAAGTTGAAAAATCGATAGGATGCAAATCGATAAATTGAATAGAAAAATTGTAAAATCAAAAAATTGAAGAAACGAAAAATGAAAATAATTTACAAGTAAAAACCGAAAAAATGAAGCATTGAACGACACATTGAAGAAACTAAAAACTGAAAAATCGAAAATGAAGGACAGCAAAATTCAAAAATTCAAAAGTGAAAAGTCGAAAAATTGCAAATCGATAAATTGAAGAAACGAAACTTTGGAAGATCGAAAAATTAAAAATTTAGAAAAGAACTGGAAATGTGAAATATCGACAAACTGAAGAAAAAGTCAAAACTTCAAGAAACGAAAGAGTGAAAATTAGAAACATTGAAGAAACGAAAAACGGAGAAATTTAAAAGTGAAAATTGGAAGAAATGGAAAACTGATTCAAATGTTAAAAAATTGAAAAACTGCAAATCGACAAGTTGAAGTAACGAAAAATGGAATAAATTTATAAGTGAAAACTAGAAAAAATACTCAACAAACTGACCAACTGAAATATTGGAAAATCGAAAAATTGAAGAAGTAAAAAAAAATTCAAAAGTGAAAAGTCGCCAGAAATGGAAAATTGAAAAATCCAAAAAAACGAAGACACGAAAAATAAAAAAATTCAAAAGTGAAAAGTCGAAAAATACGAATCGATAAACTGAAGATTCATAAAATTGAAAAATCGAAAAATTAAAAACTGAAACAGTAAAAAATCCACAAATAGAAGAATAAGCCAAAAATTGAAGGAATGAAAGATTGAAAGATTCTAAAGTTGAAATCGAAAAATTGAAGATACAAAAAATGTAAAAATTGAAAAGTCAAAAATGGAAGAAAAGAAAAAGTGAAACAATCACAAGTTGAAAAATCGAAAAATTGCATATAGACAAATTGAAGAAATGAAAAATTGAATAACAGAAAAAATGTAAAATCTAAAATCTGAAGAAACGAAATAAAAGAATTTAAAAGAGAAAACTCGAAAAATTGGAAATCGATAAACTAAAGAAACGTAAAGTTGAAAAATTGAAAAATATAAAAATTGAGAAATTGTAAATGTGAAAAATCGATAAATTGAACAAAAAGCCAGAAACTAAATTTGAAAATAATTTGTAAGTGAAAACTCGAAAAATGGAAAGCGACACATTGAAGAAACGAAAAACTGAAAAATCTAAAAAATGAAGAAACGAAAAATGGAAAAAATATAAGTGAAGACTCGAAAAATTGGGGATAAACAAATTGAACAAACGAAAAATTGAAGAAACAAACAATTAAATAATTTAAAGGTGAAAATTCGAAAAATTGAAAATCGACAAACTGAACAAACGAAAATTGAAAAATCCAAACAATGCAGGAACGAAAAACAAAAAAATCCAAAGTGAAAGCTGAAAAAAACCGATGAAGTGAAGAATCGAAAAATGAAAAGTCGAAAAATTGAAGAAAAAAACAAAAATTTAAAAGTGAAAAATTGAAGAAACAGAAAAGAGAAACATTTAAAAGTTCAAAAATCGAAAAATTGCAAATCGACAAATTGAAGACATGAAAAATTGAGTAACAGAAAAATTGAAAGATAAAAAGATTCAAGAAACGAAAAGTTGAAAAAACTTATAAATGAGAACTCGAAAAATTAAAAAATCGAAAAAATGAAACGAAAATTGTGGAAAAATCGCAAATCAATAAAATGAAGAATCGAAACATTGAAAAACTGGAAATGCAAACTGGAAAAGTGTAAAATCGAAAATTTGAAGAAAAACCCAGAAACTGCAGAAACGAAACAGTGAAAAATTCTAAATTTGAAAAATCTAAAAACTGAAGAAACAAAAAATAAAAAATTTTAAAAGTGAAAAATTGAAGAAATGGAAACGAGAACCATTCAAAAGTTGAAAAATCGAAAATTGCAAATCGACAGATTGAAGAAATGAAAAATTGAATAACATAAAAATTGTAAAATAAAAAAACTGAAAAGGGAAAAAACTTATAAATAAAAGCTCTAAAAAATGAAAAATCTAAAAACTGAAGGAACGAAAAAAAGCAGTAGTGAACAGCCGAAAAAATGCAGATCAATAAATTGCAGAAACGAAAAATTGAAAAATCTAAAAAATGAACAAACGAAAAATAAAATAATTCAAAAGTGGAGAGTCGAAAAATTGTGTATTGAAGAAACGAATCTTTGAAAAATCGAAAAATTAAAAACTGAGAACCTGAAAATTTGAAAAATTCACAAATTGAAGAAAAAGCTAAAAATTGAAGAAACTAAACAGTGAAAAATTCTAAAGTTGAAAAATCGAGAAATTAAAAAAATGAAAATGGATAAATTTTAAAGTGGAAAACTGAGGAAACGGAAAAGAGAATCATTCAAAAGTTCCAAATCCATAAATTGAATAACAGAAAAATTGTAAAATCAAAAAATTGAAGGAACGAAAAATGGAAACATTTTAATATGAAAACTCAAAAAATCAAAAAACTGAAGAAAGGAAAAATTGTAAAAGTGTAAAACTGAAAAAACATCCAGAAGTAGAAAAATTTGACTTTTCGTGAATGGTCGTCAAAAAATTGTACAACTCTGGTTTTCGACTTTTTGTAATTTACTTTTTCTAATAGTAATTAGTGAGATATCGAGAACTGTGCGCTTAATGACTCAGCCTGCATTAAAAATGAAAAATGATGTAAAAGTGAGTAAGCATTTGGAGTCATTTTTTTCTAGTTTTTCTACAATTTTTTTTGTTCCAAAAAATGTTTGAAGGTATAATGTATTTTATGTTGTAAACTATAACCCATTTTAAGTTGGTTTCAGGTTTTAATGGATAAGTGTAAAAGATTTTTGATAGTTTTGACAACACCTTCGCGGTGGAGTTGTCGCTCATATAAGATTATGAAGTTATGGGTTTTCTATGTTGTCCAACTCAAAGTGGAACACAGTTTTGATTGTTTCAAGGGTAATAAAAAAGCTTGTTTATACCATATTATCGAAAAAGGTCCTCTAAAAGGCCACGAAATTTATTTTTAAAACAATAGTGTTGGCAGCAGCAACGCATTCCTTGTTATAGTTGACAGTAACGATAAAATAAATTGTCAAAGCTGCAGTGCCAACATCATTATTTTAAAATTTTAATAAATTTCAATAAAACTGCTACTTACTACACACTGAACAATTCCTCTCATCTGTACCATCTCCGCACCCATCTCTCCCCGAGCATGCGATGGCACTCGACCTACACCTGCCGTTGCCGCACCGCAACGGACAGTACTCCGAAAGCCTCCTTCTGGCTCTTCCTCTGCATATGTGGGCAGGTTCGTCGCTTCCGTCGCTACACCCAACAATAGCGTTACAGAATTCGTACTCCGGCAAGCACTTGCCGTCCGCACACTGGAACGTGTTCGGAGGACATCCCCTTTTCCTCGTAGCTTGACAGTCCTCTTCGTCTTCGCCTCCTGGACAGTCCTTGACGCCATCGCATCGTCCTGCCCGCGAGACGCAGCGGCTCGAGGACTTGCAAGCGAAGGCTTCTGCAGGACATTTGCTTCGAAGGCATTCCTCGTCGGAACCGTCGCTGCAGTCTTTGCGGCCGTCGCAGACAAAGAACCAACTTATGCAAGTGCCGGTGCTGCGGCACTGAAACGGGAGAGTATTTAGTGGTTTGGGGTTTAATGGCATGTCGATGGTTTTTAGTATCAAATTTCTGTTCTTCAGTTTTAAAATGCATATAATATAATTTTTGGTGCTTTTTGTAAGATAACGAAACATTGATTGGCGTCATGGTACGCCTTCCAAGAAACATAACGATAGGTAATGGGGGAAGAACGAACGCGTAATAACCGGAAAATTATTTTTGCATTAATGGCCTGAATGGTCAAATTAGAGGATATGAAGTTATTTAGAGTAATGATGATGGAATTGATACGAGAGAACGTAGGCGGACTTTCTTGATGGATAAATGATGGTGATTAAAAAAGATTTGTATTTATTATATTTCCTGCAATTTCAACACATTCCGATCATAAATCACAATTGATTCTTATCGAGGAAATAATGGATGTTTTTGCTTCAGGACAAAGTGGACGTGAAGTTGCCAAATCAAGTTGAACGATCTCAGCTTCCGAACGCAAGGTCTTAGCTGGATCCCGTGTTTCACCTTCTAGACGACCTTGCTGGACGTGATCGCGTAATCAATTTTTAGCAGCGGTCTCACAGGGTTTCGAACCGCGTTGCAGAAGAAATACAAATAGGAAAGGAAATTTGTGACAAAAAAACTACTAAAGGAGCAATTCACAACTTATCCCACTACGTTCATTTTTACGTTATTTTGTAGCGTTACAAAACATCAGGTCATTTTAATGCTATGCGCTGATTATTATTGAGTGATTTGATAATAAATTAATATTTCTGACTCAATCATTTTCGTCATAACGAAACAATGTTTCTTGATAATGTATTGTGCATTCATTAGCGTAACTTGACTTGATTAAGTCCTTCTTACGAAATTTACTGAAACAAACGGATGTGATTTGATAATTTGTCTGTCTTCGGAAAGCTATATAATATCTATAAATGACTGTGTGACAATCAAGTATGTATTGATTTTGCCGCCTCGTCGAAATAGAACTTATAATTAAGATGTCAAACGGATGTCATATGTCAATTTAGGATTAATAAATAGTCAGCGTTTGCCTTTTACGTATCCATTAATATGTATATTCATACAGCGATCAGTCTTTTTGTAGATTCTTTACAAATTATTTCCTGTATAGGTAGTAGTTTTGAAATAATTTATTGAAGATTTGAGGTGCAATGCATGTATGTACAAAGTGTCCCAACACTATGGTGGCGAATGATCACGCACTTTTTTAGACATAATTTAACAGAACTCATTTAGGAGTACAATTTACAATTAATTAAATGAAGCACCCTGTATAGTTTTTTCAAATTTTAGAAACCAGCAAGATTTATTTTTATCCCAGATTTGTCTGACTTTGTTCTAACAAGAATTAAATAAACCTCAACAAAATGTTATCAAAAGAAAGCTTGATTAGAGATAAGCGTGAAACTGTTATAAAATATTTGAAAACTATGTGAAAACTAATAATTTGGAGATTTATTCACCCCGTATAAATAAGTTCTCAGTTTTTTATACTTTTGCAAAGACAACGTGATTGAAAAGTTTTATGTAAAATTTTAGACCTCGTTCTTTAAATATAGCGGAGTTGAAAATTTGTAAATATATTATTTTTGTTTGGTTGTTCTGTTAAGATTTTTAATTGTTCTTAGTTTTAATACAATTTAACGACAATAATGTCAATATAAAGCACGTGATAGGAAATTCGTTTATTCAGGTATTGCAATAGGGGCCATCCGGCGAACGGCTAATTTAATGTTTTCTCGACGTTTTATGACCCCAAGACTTACGAAAAAGTATGTCTCGCGTTTCCGTCTGTCTGCTTAAATTATTTTTATATAGATAATCTCCGAAACTACTGGACCGATTGTTGTCCAATTTTATACGTATATTCGGAATATCGTGCAGATGGTAAATCGCTAACCATAATTTGCTTTGGAAAACTTTTGCAAATTATAAACTAATTTTTCATGTTTATTTGAATAGTTGTCGTGAGGGTCACACGGATTGTCTACAATAATATGACGCCAATTCCCAATCAATTGATCTTATTTTAACCATTTTTTGGGAAAATTTGGAAAATTGGAAACTCACTTTTCATGTTTATTTGAATTGTTATCGTAACGGCGACTACGGATTCGTAATTAGCGCAAAATTATTTGACACAAATTCTCAATCAGTTGAAATCATTATAACCATTGAAAGTTTTGAAAATTGTAAATTAATTTTTCACATTTATTTAAATTGTGGTGATTACGGATTTGTTTATCTACAATTTGACACAAATTTTCAGTCGATTGAATCCATTTTAGCTTTTTTTGAAAATTTTGAAAATTGTGAACTCATTTTTTACGTTCATTTAAGTAGAAATCATAACGGTGACTTTGGATTCGTAATTAATGGAAAAGTATCTATAATTCAACACCAATTTTTAGTCGATTGAACCCATTTAAACCACTTTTTGGAAAATTTTTGAAAATTGTAAACTCACTGTTCACGTTCATTTAAATAGAACTTGCAACGGCGACTTCGGAGTCTTAATTAGCGGAAGGTTATCTACAATTTGACACCAATTTTCCGTTTATTGAACGATTGAACCCATTTTAACCACTTTTTTCGAAAAATTTTGAAAATTCGAAAATCACTTTTCCGTTTATTGAACGATTGAACCCATTTTAACCACTTTTTTCGAAAAATTTTGAAAATTCGAAAATCACTTTTCCGTTTATTTGTATAAATTCCCGGCGGCGATTTCATTTGTAATTAATTGGTGGAAGATTAGCTACAATTTGACACCAATTCCCAGTCGACTGCACCCATTTTGACCATTTTTTTGAAAAATTTTGAAAATTGTAAACACACTTTTCACGTTCATTTAATAAATATTGTAACGGTGATTTTGGATTTGTATTTAGCGGAAAATTTTCTACAATTTGACACCAATTTTCAGTCAAACGAACCCAATTTAACCACTTTGTTAGAAGAATTTTGGAAATTGTAAACACACTTGGCACGTTAATTTAGATAGATATCATAATGGCGAACTATGGATGAGTAATTTGAGCAAGATTATTTACAATTTGACATCAATTCTCAATCAATTGAACCCATTATAACCATATTTTTTGCAAAATTTTGAAAACCGTAAATTCATTTTTTAAATTTATTTGAATTGATGTCGTAACGGCGATTTCGGATTTGTAAGTACAGGAACATTTTCTAAAATTTGTCACGAATTTTCAGTCGATTGAACCAATTTTTACCATTTTTTTGGAACCAATTTTGAAAATGGTAAACTCATTTTTCACGTTTATTTGCAGTGATCTTGTGACGGCGATTTCGCATTGGTAATGTTAAATTATCTAGAATTTGACATCAATTCTTAGTCGATGGAACTCATTTTAACAATTTTTTTTTTGGAAAATTTTTGAAAATTGTCAATTATAACCATTTTTTTTGGAAAAATTTTGAAATTTTTTATTTAGATAATTATCGTAACGGCGAATGAGTAATTTGCGCTGAATTATCCACAATTTCACACCAATTTTCAATCATTTGAACCCATTATAACCTTTTTTTTTTTGAAAATATTTTGAAAATTGTAAATTCTCTTTTTACATTTAGTTAAATTGATGTCGTGAGGGCGATTTCGGATTTGTAATAGTACATTATCTAATTTTTTAAAGTAATGGTAAATTATAACAATTTTTTTTTTAAATTTTGAAAATTGTAAACTCGCTGTTCACAGTTATTTGAATTGATGTGACGGCGATTTTGGGTTTGCAATTAGCGGAAAATCATCTAAAATGTGACACTAATTCTCAACGGATAGAATCAATTTCTTTTTTGGAAAAATTTATTTTAAACATTGTATCTAAATTCACCTTTCACGCATATTTCAATTGATGTCGTGCCGGCGATTTCGGATTTGTAAATGGCGGTAGATTATCTACATTTCGACAGCAATCAGGCGATTGAACCCATTTTAACCATTTTTTGGAAAAATTTTGAAAATTGTATTTTCTCTTTAAACATTTATTTAAATTGATGTCGTGACAGCGATATCGGATTTATAATTAGAGGAAGATTTTCTACAATCTGCCAAGAATTTTCAATCGATTGAACACATTTTACTATTTTTTTGGAGAAAATTTTGAAACTTGGAAACTCACTTTCCACGTTTATTTAGATAGATATCGTAAGGCGAACTACGGATGAGTCATTTGCGCAAAACCATCCACAATTTGACACCAATTCTCAATCAATTGAACCCATTATAACCTTGTTTTTTGGAAAAATTTTGAAAGTTGTAAATTCTCTTTATACAGTGATTTAAATTAATGTCGTGACGCCGATTTACGATTTATAATTAGAGGAAGATTTTCTACAATCTGAAAAGAATTTTCAGTCGACTGAACCCAATTTTACAATTTTTTTTTGGAAAAAACTTTGAAAAAGGTAAACTCATTTTTCACGTTTATTTGAAGTGATCTTGTGACGGCGATTTTGGATTTGCAGTAGTAAATTATCTACAATTTGACACCAATTCCCAGTTGACCGAATTTATTTAAACCATTTTTTTGTTTTTTTTTTTTAAATTGTAAATTATAACAACTTTTTTGGACAAAATTTGAAATTTGTGCATGATTATCCGCAACCCATTATAACCTTTTTTTGGGAACATTTTGAAAATTGCAAATTCTCTTTCCACATTTATTTAAATTAATGTCGTGACGGCGATTTCGGAGTTATAATTAGAGGAAGATTATCTACAATTTGACATCAATTTTTAGTCCATTTTTTTGGAAACAATTTTGAAAATTGTAAACCTATTTTCTACATTTATTTGAAGTGATCTTATGACGGTGATTTAGGATTTGTAATGGTAAATTATTTACAATTGGACACCAATTCCCAGTCGATGGAACTCATTTTAACCATTTTTTGGTCAATTTTTGAAAACTATCAATTATAACAATTTTTTTGGAAACATTTTGAAAATTGTAAACTTATTTTTCACGTGTATTTAGATAGATACGTAACGACAAACTACGGATGAGTAATTTGCGCAAGATTATCCGCAGTCTGACACCAATTCTCAATCAGTTGAACCCACTATAACTGTTTTTTTCGGAAAACGTTGAAAATTGTAAATTCTCTTTTCCCATTTTTTTAAATTGATGTCGTGACGGCGATTTCGAATTTATAATTAGAGCAAGATTTTCTAGAATCTGACAAGAATTTTCAGTCGATTGAACCCAATTTTACAATTTTTTTTTTTGGGGGGAAAAAATTGAAAATGGTAAACTCTTTTTTCACTTTTATTTAAAGTAATCTCGCGACGGCAATTTCGGATTTGTAATGGTAAATTATCTACAATTTGATATATACCAATTCCCAGTCGAGTAAACTCATTTTAACCATTTTTTTGGAAAATTTTTGAAAATTGTCAATTATAACCATTTTTTGAAAAATCTTGAAAACTATAAATTTACTTTTCGCGTTTATTTAGATAGATATCGTAACAGCGTACTACGGATGAGTAATTTGCGCAAGATTATCCACAATTTGACATCAATTCTCAATCTATTGAACCTATTATAACCTTTTGTTGTGAAAAAATTTTGAAAATTGTAAATTCTCTTTTTACATTTATTTAAATTGATGTCGTGACGATTTCGGATTTGTAATGGTAGATTATCTATAATCTGACACCAATTCCAAATCGATGGAACTTAGTAACCATTTTTTTGGAAAATTTTTGAAAATTGTAAATTATAACAATTTTTTTTTTTAATTTTGAAAATTGTAAACTCACTGTTCATTGAACTGATGTGACGGTGATGTCGGGTTTGCAATTAGCGGAAAATGATTTACAATTTGACACCAATTCTCAACCGATTGAACCAATTTCTTTTTTGGAAAAATTTATTTTAAACATTGTATCTAAATTCATTTTTCACGTATATTTGAATTGATGTCGTGACGGCGATTACGGATTTGTAAATGGCGGTAGATTATCTACATTTTAACAGCAATCAGTCGATTGAAGCCATTTTAACCATTTTTTGGAAAAATTTTGAAAATTGTTAACCCACTTTTCACGTTCATTTAAATAGATATTGTAACGGTCACTTTGGATTCGTAATTAGCGGAAGATTATCTATAATTTAATACCAATTTTCAGTCGACTGAACGCACTTTGTTTGAAAAATTTTGAAAATTACAAACCCATTTTTTACGTTTATTTGAATAGATATCGTGACGGTGATTTCGGATTTGCGAAATCTTCTCTACAATTTGACAGCAATCAGTCAACTAAACCCACTTTAACCATTTTTTTTTTATTTGGAAAACGTCATCTTACAGTTTTGCTGAATCTTCAAATTTATGAGTGTTCTTAATTAATTAATTCTCTCCTATGTGTTAAGGTGACAAAATCAATCAATTTTCATTTTCTTTTAATATATTTGCCCCCGCTTATACTTATTATCTGAAAGTGTTAATAGGTGAATTCTTTTAAAGTATAAACATAAACAGTCGAAGTTAAGCTGCACTGAGAAATTGTGAATACATTTTTCCCCGTTAGTTATTTGACGAACAAAGTTCAATGCCAAATTTTGAATTTTCACAGGATTTAAAATATCTAATTTTTCATTTTTCAACTTTTGCAATGATTTCTTTAGTACAACGACTACAACGCAACCTCAAAGAGTATCAAAACGGACGATTGAACGGCAGGAGGTCACTATAGCACGAAATGATCTTAACACGCCACCGCATGTCAGTGTCAGATCATTAAATACAATCTACATAACGTGCATCAGAACAGACGTCTAAATAATCACCAGATCCACATGATATCCCCACATTTTCATTTAACAGATAGATATCCTCCTCTACATCATTTCCAAGTCGCAATAAAACATAAAATTTTAAAACACCATACCTGGAAAGTCCCCGGAATGCATCCCGTGTTCCGCGCCGAGCATCCAGTGGCGTTCGTCCTAACAGTACAATCACACAGACCATCAATACACCTGGAGGAGGGATCAGCGGCGCGACATTGCAAATCCGTCACGCACGGAAGACCCAAACTCACCGCCTCCGCCGCATCATCAACCCGAGTTCTTATGCCCGTAGTCGCCGGAGGCGCAACTGCAAAAAAATCAGTTAGAGAGTGAAAGTCTTCTTTTTGGACCAATACTTGTAGTCACTGTCGAGGAGACATTGAGCCTTGGCATTGCAGTAGTAATAGTCGGAAGTGTCGAAGGCACCACCTGGTGGAGCAGAAACAGAACAATTGTTAGAATAACTTTTTAAATAATGGTTTGGGTCCACCCCCAAAAAGTTAACACCGGCCGGCGCCACAGGCGTTCAACGAACCAGACAACACTTCCTTTCCACAAAAAAGTTAATAGAGTCTGCAACTTAATCGCCCCAAGTGCAAAATAATATAAAGATTAAGATGTAATGGGTTTTACTGGTTCTGTGCCAAAATTAAGTTACTTTTTGTTGTTTTTTTGACTAACCGTCGTCCTTGCAGTCGTCGTCTTGTCGAATTTCCCCCCTATCAAATTAGAGTCGATGTCGGCTTCAGTGGTCGTTGTTGGTGGCTTCGTCTGGAATGCAGATCTTACGCAAGAATCTCCCACTTGTCGAAACGGTGAATTGCACTGACACCGTCCGAATAAATTTGGGATCAAGAAGTCGCAATGGCTGTCAGCTGTCCATAAACGACAATGTGCGTTACTGTAGCAGACGTTTCCGGGTCTAGCCGCTGAAACAAGAGTACTGTTACTCAGTGGTACTTATTATTATTGGAGGCATACATCTCGGGGAAAGATGAATTGGATAATGGAGTATGTGCATCGTTAGTTGCATTGCTTGTGAATTTTGTTAAAAGAATGGTTATTGTGGTTTCTTCGTTCTCAAGTCTGTTACCTTCCTTATAAGTCTGTCGCTGCTAACGGGATCGCTCTAAAACGATTTTACACGAATTTTCATAAACTTGCGCTTGAAATTAGCAGGAACTGTCACGAACTGGGTAATAGGATTAGAATTTGCGGACATTATACTGAAAGTTATTGCGCATAATTTATCACAGTTCATACTCGGACTCTCATTACGTACAACTAGTAATACAGCTGAAGTTTTTTTGTTGGCGAGCTTCGGACAGAAACATTAATCTTTTCAAAACATGTTTGTTCAAAAGACGAAAGTTGCGCTCGCTTGAAAATGTTTCCTAACGGTTTTCTGCATGCGTATATTTTTTGATCATTGGAAAAAATTACCCTTTAAATTAAATTCAAAGAGACTTGTTTTAAATTACTCTCTCTAGTACCTATAAATAAACAAAGCGATCGTAAAGCTATAACATAAATCCTGCTGAGACACGTCATAAAATAGCAACGACTTTGTGTTTTTAATAAATGTTAGATTTTAAAGGTTCGTGTTTTTTCAATGGAAAATAGAAAGTTAAATAAATGTAAATTAAAAAAAAAAAACATTTTAATTATTTCATTCTTAGAACCGGCGGAAAGCCACGTTCATTGGAATGGTTTTAATTACCTACAGAACTGCTTATAATTCATCGCACAGCTACTACTTGAAGTCCCACTATGTAAACTAATAAAAATAAATTTTATTCAGCCTCACACTAACAGTGAAAATTGGGTCTGTTGCTGATCAGATTTAATTTTTCATTTAAAAAATAGTTTTGTTCTACTGTACACGTGGAAAGTACGACCATCAGCATTAGAATTATTAGCGGAAATATTAATGGACAACAATAAATTATATCAATATTTTAATTGTAAACTAAAATGCGATTGAGATTTTAATAGACTCTTGATTTTTACCAGGAAAGTGTTATTTGAATAAAAAATATTATATAAAAATAAATGGTTCAAATGTGAGCAGCGCCCGTCACTGGCCACCTCTGTTTCCTGTAATCTACCGACGTTTTTATTATTCTGAAACTACTGATTTAACAGTTGTGAAATTTTAAATATGTTTTAACGATATAATGTAGGAGTAATTGGCAAAACGATAACCATAATTGGTCCGGTCGTTCCCAAAAATTTGATGACGTTATTTCATGTTTGGACCACCTTCGAAAATTAGCTAAAAACATTTTTTTGTACAGCTCAAAAGTTACTTTCGGCTTTATTTCGTTAAAAATCCTACCAGAATCGCCAACTGAAACGTGGGGAATTTTAGGAAAAAAAAAGAACTTCAAACCGAATATTTCGAAAATTTTGGTTCGAGACCGCACGCTATGTTTTTCAATTCAGCACGTCAAATATCCCAATGTGGATTTTTTGGACATTTTTTCAAAAACCCGATTTTTCAATACCTTATGAAATTTTTGTTCGTTTTTCGACCACCTTGGAAAATTAGTTAATGACTTTTTTGTAGAATTCATTCTAGGCTTTATTTCTTTCAAAATCCCTACCATTTCTGCCGAATCACTAACTGAAATATGTCAACTTTTAAAATTATTACAAAATTTCGTCGTCAAACCGAATCTTTAAAAAAATCTTGTTCTGGAACAATAAAACCTTTATATTTTTGGAATTAGCGTGTTGAGGTTTACATCTCAGAACTTTTTGCGCATTTTGGCAACTTTTCCAAAAACTCAATTTTTCAATACACCCCTCTATGAAATTTTTTATCATTGTTCGAATACCTTCGAAAATTAGCCAAAGACATTTTTTTGTAGATTTCGAAGTGATTTTCGGCTCTATTTCTTCAACAATTTTTATGATTAAGAAAACGACTTTCAAAGCAACTACAAAATTTAATTTCGCGATTTTTTTTTGATATCCTCTGTAAAGTAAAAAAAATATGAATGCATTGATAAACCACATCAATGGATTCAAAATCTTTTCAACATTTTAGATTTTCTGTATCCGTTTGGGGGAGGGAGGAGATGGAGTTTCATTACGATTGCTTATTAAAATCTTAAAACGTTTGCGACATCCCGAACAATTCCGCTTTCAAAATTAAATTTTAAAATCTTGTTATACAATTTTTTTTTACAAACATCTGGGTATCAAGGGTAAGAACGGATTCATAAATCACGAGTACACAAGTATATTATTTTATAAAATGACTGATAATCTTAGAAACTACTGGATCGATTGTTTTATCTTTTCTGTATATTAGAACCATCATGTAGAAGGTAAAACGCCAACCAAAAAGATTGGCAACATTTTGCAATTTAACTTTGAAACTGCAAAACCGAATGCTCTGAAATCTTGCGTTTTAAGGTTACCGTAAACCTAAATTTATTCTGAGGTTGTGTCACTCCCTTGTGGGTGTATTTTTCAAATTTTCTTCTGTATTCTAATAAAACTCTTTCTCCCCACTTTTTAAATCTTTGCATAGAAAATAATATGCAGAAAATAAAAAAGATTTAAAAAGTGGAGAGACAAAATTAAAAATTTATTCATTTATCCCCTCCCAAAAAACGTCATCTCAAAATTTTGCCGAATAAATCCTCTCTGAAATATGCAGAAAATGATGACTCTATACTTGTGGTTTTTCAATGTAGATAGTTTTTAGAACTTATACAGGGTGGCTCACTTTATTTTAACTTACCAGAGCTATAATAAAAAGGTTAAAATTCCCAAAATCAAACCTAATAAGTTTTCGAAAAATCTGGATTTATTTACCTTCGATCAAGTTTTTGATATCACAGTTTTTTTTCGTTTGTTTAATTTCTTTAATTACTCAATTTTTCGGTTTAATAATTTTTCGTTTCTTCAATTTTTCGATTTGAAATTTTTCGTTTTCTTAAAATTTCAAATTCGTGATTTTTATTTTTTATTTTCCCGATTTTTAAATTTTTCAGTTTTGCAATTTTTGGATTTCTAGCTATTCAATTTTCCATCAGTCATTATTCGTCAAAATTGCAAAATGACGTCAACATTTTTGAGGCGGGGCATAAACGAATAAAGTTTAATTAACGATTTACCATGTTTCTAATTACTTTAATACATTTCCAAGATTCCAGATCATTCGGTTTTTGGGAATTTCAAAATTAAAGTGTAAAATATTGCTGTTCACTTTTGATTTTTTTTTAATCTGAATATTTAGAGTAAAATTGAATTGGGATTCATAAACATTATTTAAAATTGTAAGATGGTGTCATCAATTTGGAGTGGAGGTAAGGGATAAATTTTCTTTATGTATTTACCACTCTTCCAATAACCTTAAAACGTTTGCAATATTTCAAAGCACTTGGTTTTGCAATTTAAAAGTTAAATTACAAAAGGTTGTTATAAAATTTTGATTTTTTTTCCAAGAATTTGGATGTTTAGAATAAAAACGGATTCATGAACAACAAGTGCAGAATATGTTATTTTATCAAATTTAAATAATAATATTTTGTGATGATGTGATTAATTTTTTCGGACGGAATAAACGGATAAATTTTGATTAACGATTTACCATGGTTCCGATAGCCTTAAAACGCCTGAAAAATTTCAGAGCATTCGATTTTGCAGTTTCAATTAAATTGTAAAATGTTGTTACACAATTTTGACTTTTTCCCAAAAATCTGGATGTATGGGGTAAAAACTCAACACGGATTCATAAATCACAAGGGCATGGGTATTTTATTTTTATTTATTTTGACTATTACAATTTGACAACAATCAGTCCATTAGTTTCTAAGACAGACAGACAGAAACCGACAGTCTATTTTTTCGTACTTTAGGGGCCATGAAACGTCCAGAAAACATAAAAATAGCGAGTCGCCCGATGGACTCGATTACAATACTTCTTTAGCTTAAGATTTTTATTTTTTGTGATAACCTATATAGTTTATTATTTTGTAATATACACAAAATTTGGTTAGCGTTTTATCATCTACACGATACTAATAACATCCATCTAAAATCGGTCCACTAGTGTCGAGGATTATTTGGCTAATAATAATCGATACAGACGGCAACAGGCAAACAGACGGAGATGGGAGACCCATTTTTTCAAAGTCTCGCGGTCCTGAAACGGGAAGAAAACATGCAAGTAGCCATTCAAAGTAAATATAACGAGAAATTTGTATGTGATATACTAATAACACTAGTAACGATGCTTGGAGTTTGTATTTTTGGACAAAATGAATCTGTATCTACTTCAGATTACATCTTAATTAGTTTTGAGATTCAAAAAGATATTTTCTTAATAAGTTAAGTAATAAGAAAAAATATTAATATTGGTAAATCACATCGAAATTTTATAAAACAACATACTCCTGTATTTATGGGCTATGAATCTTCTCTAGGTATTAGTCTAGGCATCCAGATTTTCAAAAAAATCCTAATTACATAAGCTTTTATAAAAATAACCCAAAGAATATTTTTTAATTTTGTTTTTCTTACACTGTAACTGGCATTATATCTACATTTTTATCAAATTTTATAATTTTTCTAGGAAACTGGACTTGTTAGAACCACAACAAACAAATCTTTCCATTGAGAAATCGTTAAGAAGCCGACAAAGAAGCGTAAACAACGTTGTACTAAAAGAAAAATCCCCTCATAAGATAAGGCAGCATCCTCAAATCTACTGACAACATACTTTGTTAACTAAATAAATTATTTTGAGTTTAATGGCCAAACTTAAATTTGCCCCTTTTATCTTTTTCATTTTTTCAGAGCTTTCACCCCATTTATGTTAGCAAACTTGACGGAATAATCACAACATAAGGACAAAGAAAAATCCTTTAGAACATAAAAGTAAAAAGTAAAGTTAAGCAGATAAAATGCGACC